TCATCCCGAACTGTTAAGCGTCATTTTATTCAGTGATGAGGCGTCTTTTACCCTGGATGGTGTAAATAATTTACGAAATGTGCATACGTGGTTCCATAATAATCCACATGAGATAATGGAAACGAAATTCCAAAAGAGATTGTCCGTGAATGTACTTTTAATACAGTTATGTAGTCTGTTTATACCACCATGCGCAGCCAGCCATATTACGTCAGCGCTTGCCAGTCATGTGTCATGTATAGTGCTTGGAAACCCTAAGGACAATTATGACAAGGCGAGCGAGTATTTTGTACTTCAATTTTATGGCTTCACGTCACTCACAAGTTAGTTTGATGTTACATACATTATTAACATTACAGAATCCACATATTCATGCCAGTTTTAATATGTATTTTGTAATCAACAAGTGTGTAACAGCGGTCAAAATTTCACACTTCTCTGGCCATTATCTCCGTAACCGTTCAACTTTGGACATAGGTGTTTTGGGTTATATCGGCATACTTTAACATAAGGAACACCCTCCCGAAGTTTGGTCCATTCCTCCTGGGACACCCTGTATATACACAGGAATTATGTCAACCATCAACACAACAAATACTCAGTTTTTAATATTCGATCTTTATTGCTGCTACACGTTTCAGTCATACAAGACCATCTTCAGGCAGTTATACACAGGAATATGTATAGTCATTGAAATGCCAATACAGATCCCTATCGGTGCAATGCAAACACTGTTTGTGATGTTTCTCTGATACCGAAGGCACTGCTGTGTGAGATTAACACAAGAAATATATAATGATGCAGGAATTTCTAACCTTCCCTGTCTACATTACATCATCCAAATACATCCATGTATTACATATATTAAAGCTATTTTTGACCATAAATGTAAATAACTTCATATGAATGGGCTGAATACTCGTAATCATCAAAGCATCTAACATCAGCAGGCAGCCATCCTGTATGCACTGAAGCAGCTAACACCACCTGAATTATGAGACATCCAACTAAGTAGCTAACATCACCAGAACACTTGAATGTCCTGCAGCCACTGAAGTGGCTAACATCACCCAAGCAAGCAGATATCCTGAAGTAATGTAACATAAACTGGCAGATGTCCTGAGGCCAATAAAGTAGCCACAGAACCCATACAGCAATCAAAATATGGCATTGATGAAATGGATGCACAGCTAAATGTCTACAATTTCATTACTAACAGTCTGTTCCAGCGAAGGTTGGGATGGTTAAAATATAAGATGTTCATAACAACACAAGAAAAATATATTCTTTAATAAACTTCGAATTTTTATTAGAGTTTTATAAACAATTACATTCCATGCAAGTTAAATGTTACTTCACTAGACATGCTATTATTATTTTACTTGCTGATTTAGCAAGCTTGTGGTGTGACAGGTTTTGTATCCAATGGCTTCGGCCTTGTATGGAGGTGCTGGAACGTGTGTAATAAATACCATACAATACAATATAAATCTTATGTAGGAATGAATAACACAATGTGGCAATTAATTTACAATTTAAGGTTGTTCAAATAACATTGACACCAGATCTGGATTTGAGCATTCAGCTTCTTCCACCTTTTCAGACTGACCCCACACCATCAAAGTGGGAACACTCTTCAGCCTGAGACGTTTATCTGTCCTAAATGGACATTTAGGATCCTTCCAGCTATAAAAAACAAATCACACACATTACTATCTTTTGATTCTTTACACAGACTGACAAAAGGGAGGAATAGAAGTTTAAGAATTATATACAGTAATTTGAAACGAATGCTTCATTTAGATCGATGGTGCACTGATTTAAAATTCCACATTCTCTACTCTGTCAAATCCTCAACACCACATTACCACATACTACTGCTCAACAGATTTTTTTATTTTGAGAACAGAAGCACAGAATATCAGACTACAACAAAGTCAGTACTTACCTTATGAAATTATTATTCAATTCAGTGTTTTATCAGAATAAATCAGCATATAACATTCATCCAAGATCAACTCAACAGCTGATCAACACTTTTAAGGAACAATCTTTTCTTGCCTATTTCACTAATTTTTTTATTTTTATGAGGTGATATTTATAATTGGCATGTCATAAAATTTGTCACATGTGGCTCTCTGTATAATAAAGACTGCATAGTACAACACATCCCTCCCTCTCACTCAATTCTGTATCATTTGATTTAAACATTTTTCAATAATTGGTGCTTGCTTAATTAAGCACCATGCTATGAAGATGAATGGGAGAATGCAGCTACCGTTCCACCATTTTTCACAACAGCACTAGATGGAGTTGAATGGTCAGCTTCATGCTACTCCTGTTTTAGCCTCCTTGGTATCCACTGTACTGGAGGCTGGTATGAACACTGCATAGAAGAAAGAATGTCTTGTCCTTGCTGGGAATTGAACCTATCCAAACAACAATCTACTTCTAGTTGCTATTCTAACTGAGTTATCACTGATAAATACTTGAAGGTGTGTTTGATTTTCCAATAAAGTCACTATTGAAATGCAAATATCTGTTCCCTCAAACTGCTGCTGATACTATGTCAAACTGTGCCATAACAGAAACATTCTGCTGAAGAGTGCACATGTACTTAATGCAGGTAATGTAAAGTTGTCCCTGTGCTTAATTAGTTGAACATTATACCATGAAGAATTGGGGGAGGGGGGGTGTACAGTTCACCATTCTTGACCTTGGCACTAGATGAAGGCGAGTGGTCAGCTTCACACCCCTTGCCACTTTACGCCTGGGGAAAGAGCTCATGGTACTCACTGATGTATATAAATGAAAGGTTTCAAGGTAAATGACTCCTCAGGATAAGGCCCTACAAACTCAGTGACAGTTCACATGTATTTCGCTCACATTTATCAGCTTTATCAATGAGGATACAATAATATTTACCCCAAACAAATGGGTGAGAAAATCTAATAATTTAACTAAATTGTGCAGTTGTGCTTACAGATAACATTAGTTACTTCAAACAATGAATAGGGGAGAAAATCTAATAATTTAATTAAGTCCTCAGTCATACCGTGTGACTGTATGAGCAAAACAGTGATGCAAATATGAACAAGAATGAGGTTTTAATAGCAGACTGACCATATTTAAATTTCAGTCACTACAAGTCTAATTATGTATGTTCAATGTTGCAGTAGAAAGCTTTGTAATGTTATGAGGTGGAAGATCTAGTGCATGACTACAAACATTTCAAAATTATAGTCTGGGTGAAGGAGGGACAATAATGGTATATGCATCAAAGAAATTCCCTGATGTCTGTGTCTGTGCATCTATACCTCCAGAACAGCTTGTCAGATAAAATTATTCTAAGAATGCTTCTTTCGACAAGATTAATTCAGGACATGCATTCTAATTTGTCGTCTATTTTCAAGCTGACATAAAAAATGTGGAGGGAAAAAACCAAACTGTAATGAGCAAACCTGATTCTTCTGTCACAAGATGAAGAAAGAATGAATGTGAACTTGTTAGAAACTGTCAAATGGAGCCTCCAGTTTTATCAACTACAGTTAGGTACCCACATTTAAAATGTTTATTAAGTCATGCAACAAGCTAGCGATTTCTTCTTCCTGCAGAATGTGAATAAACTGTACTGTAGGGAATGTAAACAATGATTGTTGTTGTTTACATTCCCTACAGTATGGACAATACTTTGTAAGATGAAGCACCAACTAAACAATTAATATTAACATCTACATCACGAGCCTCCTATACAATTATATATACAAAAGGGGGGAAAAGAATATTCCAATTTGTCCATGGGAACGTATGAAATTACATAAACCAACGACTGATTCGATGTTATAAAACATCAATTAAAATTTTATTCTTGTTTTACAATATAACTTATGTTTTATATAATCTGATTAACTGTATTTTTTACATCAAGTGTTTTATACGATTAATAGTCCCGTAGCTGGGCATTGGCCTTGATATTTGTTGTGTTGTGACCGTTAATAAAGAGGTTGTATATTGTAACACAACAGGATGCATGAAATGAAAAAAAGCTTATAACTTAATAAAATCCTATCTACAAGATAGATATCAGAGACTGTTAGTTAATGTTAATTCAAGTAAATACTGCTCTAGATGGGAACCTGTTACTGTTGGAGTCCCTCAGGGGTCCATACTTGGTCACTTGCTCTTCCTCTTATATGTTAATGGTATGCCTAATGTAATATCCGACATCTCAAACCCTGTCTTATATGCTGATGACACTAGTCTCATAATTACAAACGGTGATATCCAAATGTCTGAAAGAGATATAAATACCACCATACATAGATTAAATAGATGGTTTCATAGCAATTTACTATCATTAAATCTGGAAAAAACTTATTTCCTTCAATTTTTAACTAAAAGCACTAATGCAGTTGACTTAAATATATCATATGGAAACAGACAAATAACTAGTGTACATACCATAACATTTTTATGTTTAATAATTGATAAAAATGTATCATGGCATACTCATATTGAACAATTTATACCTAAACTAAATAAAGTATCCTACATAATTAGATTTTTGAAACCATTCTTGTCTTTGGAGACCTTAAAAATGGTTTACTTCTCATTAGTCCATTCAATTATCTCGTACAGTATAATATTTTGGGGTAGCTAAACTCACTCGAAAATTATATTTATAATCCAGAAAAGGATAAGAATCTTACAAATTCCGGCAGCAGGGATTGTCAAAATTTATTTAAGGAACTGTCTATTTTACCATTCTACCCTCAGTATATATTCTTTATTAATGTTTGTTGTTAAAAATAAAGACTTATTTAAAATGAACTCGGATGTTCATACTTTTAATACAAGATCTATTTGTGATTTGCATTTTCCAGTGGTAAATCTGACTGTATGCCAGAAAGGAGTACGGTGCTCTGGTATTAATCACCTTCCATCAACTCTTTAAACAAATAAACGGTGGGGCGCAGAAACTTCCTTTTTTTTTTGAAGGCGAATAAAAGAAAAATTATTGCTGATAGACAAAATTTATGTTTAGCTAATGAAAGAACATACTTTAAAGTTTTAAATCATGTAGTTTTAACCAAAATATCTTGAATGTGGTGGCCACCGTTCCCTATGCACTGATGCAAACGTTTTCTGAAGTTCCTCTCTGCATGTTCCAACATGTGCACTGGAATTTGGGCTACTTCCTGCCGAATAACATTCTTCAGCTGAAGCAGGTTTATGGGGCGATGTTTAAAAACCTCTGCCTTGAGGTATCCCCATAAAAAAAATCACAGGGCGTTAGATCAGCTGAGTGCGCTGCCCACGGGATGTCACCTCGAAGTGAGATGAGCCGTCCGGGGAACTTTGCCCTCAAAACTGTCATCGAAGCTCGGGTTGTGTGGGCCATGGCACCATCCTGTTGGAACCAGACATTTCCTAGATGCATTTCTTTAAGAGCTGGTTCGAAAAAGATCTCAAAATCGACTGTCGAACTGCCTCCATATTTTCTGTTGTCGTAACGGTCCATTGTCGTCCTGATGATTTTTTCACCACACTCCCAGTTGTCCTAAAGTTCTCTACCCACAGAACAATCGATTTCCAGTCGGGAATGGGACCTCTGGGCTTAATTCTGAAGTGAGTATGGAATGCACGCTGCACCGCCACGTAGGATGGTTGTTCGGAAAATAGGCTTCGACAGCAAGCGCACGCTACTCACTCGTCCACCTCATGTTTCCTACTGAGGGGTATTGGACAGAAACTTCCACGACTGCTGCATTCGCCAAGCCTATCTCCACTTTTCTGCAACCTCCCCTCCCTTAACAATGCGTCTTCACAAAAAGGAAGTTTCTGCGCCCCACCCAGTATCATATGATATTCCTAAATTTAAAGTGCCATTAAAGAATTTCCTGACCACCAAATCTTTCTACACTGTGGAAGAATACTATTGTTATGAATAAGAATTTTGAAATTTGACTACATCTAAAGTATTGAAATTCCTGATTTTATGACTGTAAATTTTGATAATTTTGATTGTAAGATGTCAACGTTATGTTTTTAAATGTACTATTTTGTGTATAAATATTGTGGCAATCTTGCATGTTTTTATAATTTGTCCGATCATGTATAAGAAAATTTATTGTGTTTATTGGTTTCAATCGTTTTTGAAACTATGCAAGTATGGGACTTGTTCCACATCCAGTGGCGTTTTAGCCCCTCTGGATCTATGGAATTGGAAATCAATATGAATATGAATATGAATATGAATAAGTTTATCATACCAGCTCCACAAGTTACATCAACGTAGTTAAGGATATCTTCAATGCTACTAAAGATAAAATACAATGTACATTCTTATATGCCAAAATGAAAAATAAAAACATATGGAATTGCAGCTATCTGTCTCACTTTTTCTTTAACTCATAGACCAGTCTTAACAACAGCTAAATAATAAACCAAATACAGCCACACAGACCAGTTATAAACAAAGAGATCCAACAGTGATAAAGGCAAGCAAGAGAGAGATCAAACAGCCCCATCACAACAAAAAGCAAGGCAGTTACCCATCCAAAATCTTATTTACTTGCTACATGATATCTGTGTTTCCATAAAGCAGCATATCCTTTTCATTACAAAAATCTTTCTTGTGCAGTTCTGTTCTGCTGAAATTGTTGCCAAAGCTGGAAGATGTTCCTAGAACATATTTCTTCAAATTGTGGTCTCTGGGATTATGACTCCATGTAGTTCAGTAGTTGGGCACCACCATTCCTGAGGGACACAGTGCCTCTGTCTTAAGGGTAGAGCTTCACCTCAACCCTGAAGATGGAGGCAGTATGTTTGTAGATGAAACTACAGGATGTCTGATAATCTACATCTAAGTGAGGTCATTTATTTTTGCTGCTCTGCAAATTTCTGAATTCATATCAGTTTAAAATACAGTAATTCTGATTTGAAAATACTTTAAATGTTAGGGTACAATTTGTGTGATATTGTGCTTGGGTGCTGACATGAAATTTGTTTCACTGTAGTTAGTCCACTGCTTCCCATTTGGGCATCTCTGCTTGTGATTCTAAACATGTTATTAATGTCTACTTACAACTTCCTGTCACCAACACCAACATACACAAAATGTATATCCTCTGCATCTTCTACAGCTTTTTCAACAACAGGCATCGCTGCAGGAAGAAAGTGACAATAAAAGTAATGTTGTAAATTCAAACCAATATGGAGAAAGAGAACAATTTTGCTCAGCTAAAACATTTTCTATATTAATAATAACTTCATTATTAATTACAAAACTTCCAGCAAGATTTTAGAATTCCAAAATGATCTGTCAAGATATCCACAGAAACACAGGGCTTCTCTCTCCCTCTTTGTACCCTGCTTCACCTTTGGGTGGGGCAACCCAGGTTCAAAAATGAACTCTCATAATTGTGCAACAGTGGCATAACCATTATGGTTAGTGTGCAGCAACTGTTCCAGTTGATTTCAGACTGAGCTAACACATGTTGGCTTCAAATAAACCATACAGATACGATGGAAGTATGAAGGCGAGTCAGTAAATAGGTCACAGATGGAAGTGAAACAGCTGTAATGGACGTAATAGGCTTTCTATAGGTATCAGTAGGTAGCAGCACAATCCAGCCTCATGACAGTCTAGGTAGCATCGCCTAGGCCTTTTTGTATTTACAATTTTTTTTTTCTACAATAAAAAAAGTCTAGGTAGCAGACAAGCATACACATGTTCAAAGCCTGGTTTCAGTAGTTAAAATGGCGACCATGCTTCAGCAGTGTACTACCAAAGAGCAGCGATCTGTTGTGCCTTTCCTGTGGTCAAAAGGACTCAATGCAAAGGATATTCATAAAAAAATGTTTCCTGTTTATGGTGGGAAGTTTTTGTCTCATATAGCAGTTCACAAATGGGTTGAGAAACTTTCTCATAGAAGTTCGAAAGTTCCAGATGATGCCCAACTAGGCTGCCCTGTTGAGACTGTGACAGAAGCAACTGATCTGCACTGACAGGATAACAACAGTGTAGCAACTGCACTAGAGTGTTCCCAAGGTTTAGCATACAGCATAGTACATGACTGTTTGAAGTTTTGGAAAGTGTGCACACAATGAGTGCCCACAAAACTGAAGCACTGAGAAAAAATTACTCGAATGGGTCTGTCCTTGCAACATCTCTTACAGTATGCAGATGAAGGAGAAGATACGCTTAACAGGATTGTTACTGGGGATGAATGAGAGCATCACTACCAATCCAAATCAAAGTGTACTTCAATGCAATGGAAACATCCTAGGTCACCCTCAACCAAAAAACTCAAAATTCAAGGTTCTGCCATCAGCTGGGAAGGTTATGCTCACCATGTTTTGGGATTCTCACGGAGTACTGTTAGCTCATTTTCAAAAGCATGGTGAAAATATGAGTTCTGCATCTTATTGTGAGGTTCTATCGAAGCTTTGAGATGCAATTCACAGAAAACGTCCAGGCCAACTGACAAGAGGGGTACTGATTAATCATGACAATATCTGACTCCATACAGCCCAAGCAACCCACGAGAGAATTTAAGAACTACAGTGCAAAATTCTTGAACATCCGCTTTTCAGCCTGGACTTGGTCCCTAGTGCCTTCTGTTTGGTCCACTAAAAACCACCCTGATGGCAAACACTTCACTGATGACAAAGAGGTTACAATGGAAGTCCAGAAGCGGCTGTGACAGCAGTCAAAAACGTCTATGCTGCGGGTTTTGATGCAATGGTAAAGCAATGGGACAAGGGTATCAATGTTGGTGGAGGATATGTCAAGAAATAAATGCCCCCCCCCAATACCCATTTGTGACCCATTTCCTACTTACTGACTCTATGGTTCAATGTTACTTGAGGGGGGTGGGGCTAGGATGGCATTCCTACCCGTTTCTGGCAATGTCTAATATTTATCAATAAATATACATGATAAAGCTACAGAGATTCTTCACATGAAATTGTTACAAGATAAATATAAGAATTTTGCACTGATTTTCAGCAGAGCCTCTGAGTTTCTGCACATACAAAGCAAAATATTTTTTTTTCACAAAATATTAACATAATTTTAAGAAATGATGAATTAGAATGCTTGCACTAATGGTTACACTAAGGCAACAAGATTAAAATATTGGTAAAATACACACGCATGGTGTGGATCAAAATGGCAACCACCTAAAGAAAATAGAGGGCAAACAACTCATGACACAAAACCTGGTATTTAAAAGTTCCCTGATCCTATGGCAAAGTATACATCAGCCAAACTGGCTCTCACATTTCCACTAGAATTTTGGAACACATCAGAGATTGCAAAATAGAGAACCCCACTTGAAAAGAAGCCAAAAATTTCACCAAGACCAAATTTTGACAATACTGAAGCCCTCACAAACATCCAGACTTACCATCCCTCCATTACCTGGGAAACCACATTTCTATATTGACTTACACACTTATTTTACATTTGTATATTATTTTGCAATTGTATGTGTATAATGTATTATATTAATGTATTACTGTATTACTGAATAGGGTGTAATGTCTTTGTATTACTGTATTACCAACTGACAAGGCTGCTTGTTGTATGGCCACTATTGTATCTTATTTTATTGTATGTGGACATCTATATCCTAGGTGATGATCACTGTTATGGATTACTCGAAGAAAAATAAAATGAATGAATAATGAATGAACCATCAAAACAGTGAAACCCGCACAACTTGAAGCACAATCTCTTAAGTTAAAAAACTCATGTGGATATGATGAGATATCACTCTTTGTTTTTAAAATAAGCTTGTCATTTATAATTTCACCTATAAACTATATATGCAATAAAATGTTAAGGGGAGGAGTTTTTCCTGATAGACTAAAATATGTGATAATAAAACCCTTGTATAAGAATGTCATAAGTGTCGAATTTTAGACCCATATAACTTTTTTCTTGAAAATATTTGAAACTATAATATATACAAGAACTTTAGAACATCTTAATAAGTATATAAGCATCATATCCCAAGTACTGAACAATATGGATTTAGGAAAGGATTAAAAACAGATAATGTAATTTACAGATTGACTAGAGAGATTTTAAATTCTGTGAACAAGCAATTAGTGGCAGGTGTTTTCTGTGATCTGGAGAAAGCCTTTGACTGTGTAGATCATGATATGTTGTTGTCCAAACTTAAATTTTATGGTATTACTGGGAAAGATCATGCACCTTATGGATCTTATTTAAGTAACAGATATATTAGAACAGTAATACATAAAAGTGATGTGAATACAGTATCCTCGGATTGACTTAGTGTTAGACAGGGAGTGCCACAAGGGTCTGTATTAGGACCTTTGTTGTTTCTCTTATATACCAAGGGCGTTCCGTATACAATACCTCCTATTTCTTTGTGTTAATCTGTAACATCTGAGCTGGATGTTGGAAGTGTTGTAGTAAAGGTTGAACCTTCCTGCCAATGTACTGTTAGTTCGGTTGTCGTGCAACAGATAGCGACAGCAGAGCAGTCTAGCAAAATGGCGTCTGACATAGAAGTGCGTACGAAGCAGAGATGTGTTATTCAATTTCTCACAGCCAAACGAATTGCACCCACTGACATCCATTGATGCTTGCTAAAGGTGTACAGAGACGATACAGTGGATGTCAGCACAGTGAGGCAGTGAGTAGTGCGTTTCAACAGTGGCTAAAGTCAAGTGCATGACAAGCCATGCCGTGGGTGTCCCTGCTCAGCTGCCACTCCTCACAATAAACAGAGCCTCGACCAGCTCAACCATACAGATCGGCAGATAACGACCAGGGAACTGTGTGCACGGCTTAATATCGACTGTAATGCATTGGAAACAATGTTGGGGAAACTGGATTATCGCAAAGTTTGTTCCAGGTGGGTCCCGAGGATGCTTTCACAGGACCACAAAACTCACTGAACGGAAGTCTGTCACGACCTGCTGCACTAGTTTGAGGCTGAAGGCGACAAGTTTCTGGACAGCATCGTCACCAGAGATGAGATGTGGTGTCACCACTACGAGCCAGAATCCAAAAGACAGTCTATGGAGTGACGACATCCGGATTCCCCAAGAACAAAGAAGTTCAACACACAGCCATCGGCAGAGAAAGTGATGTGCACGGTCTCTTGGGATAGGGGGAGTGTGATTTTCTTGGATTTCCTGGAGCCTGGTGAGACTGTCAATTCTGAACGCTACAAGATGACACTGACTAAGCTGAAAGCCCGCATTTCCTGAGTCAGGCCAGAGAAGCAGGCAACCTTTCGCTTGCAACATGATAACGCTAGACTCCATACCAGTTTGGCGACCATCGTGCACATTGCAAAGTTTGGCTAGACTGTCCTACCACATCCACCTTATAGCCCCGATTTAGCACCTTCAGACTTCCATCTCTTTGGGCCTGTGAAAGATGGACTACGTGGGCAACATTTTCCAGACATCGATGCTGTCATTGCAGCTGTAAGAAAGTGGCTAGCTTCTGCTGGCACAGACTTTTACGGGCACAGCATACAGCTGTTGTTCATCGCTGGGAAAAGTGCATAACGAATGGTGGTGATTATGTGGAAAAATAACTGTAAGTAGCTGAAATCTTGCTCTACTTAACTGCATTATTATGCTTTCTGTATCTGTTGTAGTTTTTGTTAAAAAAAATATAGGAGGCATTATATACAGAATGCTCCTTGTATAAATGACTTGCCTAAAATATTAAATACATTTTCTACACCTATAATTTTTGCTGATGATACTAGCATCCTATTTTCACATTCTAATATAAATGATCTTAACAGGAATATTCTTATAGCAGTTGAAATCTTAAGTGGATGGTTTAGAGCTAACAAATTATCTTTAAACTTTAACAAGACACATTGTATTCAATTCAAAACCAAGACAGTAATGTCAGATACTTTTACAATAAATCACAATAATAAGTTTATCAACAGTACCCTCAGTACTACATTCTTGGGAGTTATAGTTGATAGTGCCTTAACATGGAAGAATCATATTAATTTACTTGTAAGAAAACTAAGTAAGGCTTGTTATGTAATTAGAAATATGAAATATTACGTGTCTATTTCAGCTCTAAAAGTGATCTACTATTCTTTTTTTCACTCCTTAATGAGCTATGGTATCATCTTTTGGGGAAACTGATCTCATAGTTCTGCTATGTTTCTTCTCCAGAAAAGGCTATCAGAGCAATGTTGGGATATGCAGTAAAGTTTCATGTAGAAACATATTTAAAGAGTTAAATATTTTATCATTTGCATCACAATATATATTTTCATTGTTAGCATTTGCATCACAATATATATTTTCATTGTTAGTATTTGTATTGCAAAATATAGTTCTTTTTCCATCAAACACTGATACTAGACAAAGACAAAATTTGTATCTACCTCAAGCTAATTTAACTACTTATAAAAAAGGAGTTTATTACGTGGGTATAAAAATATTTAATAAACTGTCCATAGAGATCAAGAACACATCCAATAATTTTAAAAAAAGTTTAAGGTTGTATTAAGGCATTTCTTGAACACTCATACATTTTATACTGTGGATGAATATCTAAGCAGATAACCTTTATTATCGTTCTATTCATTGTACTGCCTAGTTATGTAATAACTATGTATGTATTCTATGCTCTATATTATTTTATAACATGTTCTATATCCATCTTTGGATCTCTTGAATTTACAATAAATAAAAATACATATACAATACAAAGATGGTCATAAAATGGGTAAAGCTTGGCTTCACCTCTTGTCCCCCAACCCTTCTTTTTCTTCTACAACATGTGGCTTCTTACCATTGGATAGCACCATACTCCACACACCTACCCTTACATCCAATGTGAAACCTATAAGTAGGTCCACTTCCTCCTTCATCCTAACAGATCCACAAGCAGAAGTCATACAAAATCATGATAATGAGAATGTTCGCAACATCGGACAAGGCGAAGCCCGACACAGAAAGTATAAGAGGCTTAAACTTGGCGGCGGTCAGGCATACGACCGTTCAAGTGACTAGACTGCCGTGGTAGCAAATACTACTAGGATATATATGTATATATATGAAAGGGCATAATCCGCTGTACCTAGCCTGGACTGACAGAGGCTGTGTATATATTGTACATAGAAGTAAGGATTAAGTGTGTATTTGTAAATGTATGTAAATACAGACAATAGACTTAATACAGACTGACTGACAGATGACAGACCCGACCTCTCGTCAGAGAGGGCGCTACACATAGACAGGACAGTAACTTTCATTGAAAAGAAATATCTGGTCATGAGCCCCAGCTGGGGCTCGACACCAAGACCGACAGACTGACTGACCGTCAGTTGTAACATGACCTGACCTGACCTGACCTGACCTGATCATCCTAACATTCACACAGAAAATTATGACTACAACACATGACAAAGGGTAAGAATAGCACCAACATACAATTCAGATAAGCCCCATATGAATGAGAGCAGGGAGGTCTCACCTAAGTCTGTTACAACATTTCTGACCAGCTGCAGATAATATCTGGCAAGCATGTGACCTATGCTCAGATGTTCACAGTGCCAGATTCTGTGGTAAGCTATCCATGGTTTTATTCATGAATTCTTCTCTCCTCATTTGGCCAATGCCATTAAATAAGCCACAATGATCTTCCCTCCAACGTCAACAAATTCTCTGTTCACATTAACTTCTACATAAAATAGTTTGTAATAAATACCACAGAAAAAAAATTTAGAACATTGAATTCTGATTGGTTCTTTGATTTTTAATGACATAATTTCAAACACAAAGGCTATATAAGGTCAAATGACATTGGTAGAAAAGCATGTGTTGTGTGCATACAAGGATTTGGCCATTATCAGATGTGACCACTTCCTGGAATTTGTCTAAGAGATGAGGAAACCATGAAACAGCGGTCAGTATATCCAACAACCTGGTTGTAGTTCAACTATGTTTATCTCCAAAATACATGTCTGGAACGTCACTGCCACACCAACCTGCTTGGTGAATTTAAAAAAAAAACATATTTTTTTGGCATAAACCACGATACTTTACATAGTATTTATTTCTCATGGTATTTAATGACACTTTATCAACTGCAGAAGGTGTGCAGCATCAAATAGGGAGGACTTTTGAATTAAATCTATCTTAATTTGAGATATCACAGAAACAAACCTCGATAAAATAATCGATCTCCAACTGGGGATTCGAACAGGCAACCTTGAAAATATACAAATCAATGTTGGGTCCATTACAACACACCGGCATGTTAGCGCCTAAAACGTTCCACATTTTGATAGATCATGTTGTAAACATACCTTTTACACAATCTGAACACCAGCTTTTTCCATCTTCACCTTTAGACCCTGAAAAGTATACGACCACTGGTTTACCCTGAGTTTCCAGCTCCCCAATTAAGTTGCAAAATGCATCATAACCTTCTACTGCACTCCGAACAGCCATTTCTTGTCTAATATTATTCAGCTTCCCTCGGCCTACAGATTACGTTCTATTAGTTTGCCTCACACCATCTAACAGTCCAACAGATTACTTTCCAGCTTTCAGAGATTCCCCTTCATAAATGCACTACCTCTTCCTCTACGTTCAACAGCCAATGTTTGCATAAGATAACGGCAGCTACAAACTCTACATCCTCTACATCCTTTCACGCTACAATACCAACACATTACCAACCGCTATACTATTCTACTTAACTACTTTATGCCATTCCATCCATATTCATGCCGCCACGCGTAGAAACTATCTGAATGTAGCCAGCAACAGAATCAAATATCCCTGTCCATGGCACGTCCGTTTGTCTAAATGAATAACTCGAGAACCGCTAATAAATTTACGTGAATTGTATTTTTTATGCTTTATTCAGTGACGCTGACAGCAATTCAGACATAATATCCTCGAATAATAAAACGATAAATGAGTAAAGAATTTGATCGGATGTGGAATTAAGCGGTGGTGGCCTAGTTAGACGTACTATTCTAGCACTAGCTTGGAGAGACTGGGAAAAAACACGCATGTTAGAATATCCGGTATCCATGCCGAGATTTGCACCAGGACCTTCCACGAAGCAAGAATGATACCCACTTAACCGCGTTGGTCAACATAAATTTCATGAAAACTGATATTCTGGGGCTTTACTAAAATTTGTCGACACGCTACAATTTTGGTTAAACTCGAATAATACACTTAACATGAAGACATACATTCATACATACATTCTGGGCATATATCATGCGTAACTCGCTAAATGTTCGTCGGAGCGAAAAGAGTTTGAAACTAGAGTTTGTACAGAAAATTAAATACATTTTATGCCTAATACAATTTTCCACAATCTTTGCGGTTTCAGAGATAATTAAAGAAAAGGAGACGAACGTCCCAGAATTTGGGCTGTGTTAATTTTCTTACTTCATCTTCTGCAAGAAGAACCATATACAACTACCAACGGAACTGAATTCGCAATCCTTAGACCGCACGGACAGTGAAACCGACTTGTAGCAATTCTTCTTCTTCAAATATCCTATCTGCAACTTTATAAAGAAATCCATTTTGCCTAATGGTTGCTGCAAATATAGTGAATAAGCAATTGTGAACTGCTCACATTTCGTGGTTTACAGGCTTGTGGGTTAGGGAATTGAGCCTTAATGGCTGTCATTATCTTGGTGTAGGTGGCTACAGGCTTCGATTCTCAGGAGCCTCAGGAGTGTTGGGAATTTTTCTGTCACCGCATTCAACATCCAACCAGCTATTCACTCTCTAGTGTGATCGCTGGGGTTCCTGGGGATTCTTTTCCTAGTAACTAAAGCGGCCAGAGCGTGAAACTAGCTACAACTTCGATTTAATTATGAGGTTAAGATTGTGTGTAGCTTCCACATCCCAATATATCTTCTTGGCTAAAAAGCTCTCACAGTAATAAATTAACAAAATTAAGGGCCCAAAGAAGAAACTGATTTTTGGACACAACCTAAGCCACACATAAAATATATAAACTCCAGACTTTGAATCCTTCACAGCAGATTGACTGAAATCAGTGAACGATAGGTGACAGAACAGGGTTTAATGGAAATGCGTCATCACATAAATGAAAATTACCTAAATCACATGAGGCATGAACCTCTCCGAAATTTCGTAAGCAAAGGAAGGGAAATTGTCTAAACCCAAGGACGATATGCTTGAGACCCTTCAGACGCTTGAGACCTTGAGACTAACAATAAGACTGAAACGGGAAGGGCCGCCAACATAGACTTACTTCGGGAAAGGGTAAGAACAAAATATTTTGAATGGGTGTAAATTACTTTAGTCAGCTGTTAAGTTGCACTGAGTTAAACTTTACACAGGACGCACACAATACTGTCGAAGTTAAAATTGATGCACAAATTATTATGTGTGTCTGTTGAGCATGGAGTACTGTGACGAAAAAAAACGTGTTACTTTTCTAATCGGTTCTGTTTAAGAGTGCTGGCTTTATTACTAACATTTCGTTTATAAGTTTGACAGTGGTTGATTTTAACACATACGGAACACTATAGAAAATAATTTCAGTTTTAAAGTTAAAGGTTAATGATACGGTTGAAAATGTAGTGGCATTAGAATGGCTGTGTTGGCTACAAGGAAGTCTCAAATGTCTGAAATGACTGCGATATGTAAAGTGTGGTTATGTTGTTCGGTGTAAGACTGTAATCATCTGATAAGTAAACACGGAATAGCCATAGGCACGCAAAGGGACAGTACGTGTGATAGACTTGGGCGGTGAGCAGAGTTGCAAGTCATAAGATATTTCACGATAGCAATGTGTGTAGGTATTTTATTTTGTTTCAAACGTCAGTTATACATTTAATCCACTTGTTTCAGGTCAACATGTCTCTCTCAAAGCCTATATATAATGTCTTAGGATTTTATTTTCAACAGCTGCACACAAATCCAGTCAGAACAAAGTCGGTCACCAGGTTAGTAACGAAAGTGTTCATATAGCTATTACTGGGTTCTGTTAAATAGCTTATTTACCCAGAAAAATAAATTATCATTTTGGACATCCTTCATTTGAAGGTGAATTTTTTTTCCATTGAACACAAACACACCGTTCTAAGGAAGTTTTACAGTTCTAACATATTCAGAAATACTCATTTGTTGTCATATCTAGACTATTATATCACTGAAAACAGGTTGTAAATTTATTCCGTCATTATGTGGAACAGCAGTTTTGACACATTATTCTACCCTGGTAACATTATCCACTTAATTAGACAAAAAATAAATGTCCTCTTTAAGGAATGCATCCTGTTGTGTTATTCTATATAAATTCTTCGTTACCATGCTGTTAAGATCAATAAACTCATTATACAAAGTGATATTTTCTGATACACTAAGAAATTCCATCCTGTTGAATGATCATGTATTTATGACATCTTCATTCATTGTATATGGAACTATAGATTACATTATCAGGCATTGAAAAGTGACTTGTAAATTTTATATTTACATTATATCTTTTATTACAAATTTATAATGAATACATACTTGTTTATATTATATATTGTTTCTGTTATATTGGACTATTGTCCTTATCCTGGGTCCTAAGACCTTGTAATGGATTTGTGGCATGTAAATAAATGAAATGAAATGAAAAATATGAATGAGACTCTAATGGTTGTTGTGTTGAGGTGGAAACAAAATGAAGAATTACAATAAATGTCCTGTTGAGTTTATAACAATAGCTGTATGTGTGAATATGAATGATGTAAGATCACAATGATAAATTAAATTCATCATTGTATTAGATGTTCAAGGCCACAGCATGTTATTTGATAATTAATGTCACAGAATAAGTGTGATGAATGTGGGTTGTGTGTGTGATAAGTCAGAGCCAAGTATAATGTTTTAACATTTTAGGGCATACTGCCACAACAGTTGAGAAACAGAGCATTCGTGGCCATCAGCAGATGTGGGTTTACATACAGCCATTCTTCATATGCAAAATGAAGTAAAATGATTTGTGGAAAGGTTGTATTTTGCATCCAAGACTACTGTATCATACACCATTGATATTTGTAATTCATATTATAAATTAGGCATTAAGAATGTCCTCTGTTCAAAGGTGACATTTTACCAGAAAAATAAAATAAAGCTATTCCTGAAACAGGCTGTGGGGGCCCATAGGCCTGTGAGACATTGAGGTTTCCACATTTTCTAGACATCTGGCTCACAGATGGCGGTGAGGTTGTCAGCCTTACATGCCAGCTTCCCTTTACCCCTAGCTCGTTTCTGTTGGAGGCTGAGTCAACTGAAGTGCCTAGTGCAGCTGGAAGGATTAGGTCAAGTGAATAAACCAATGCCTCATCAGGAATCAAACCTGCAACCTGTGGCTTGTGGAAGTTGAAGTTAATTTAAATGCTTCTCCTTAAACATTCACAAGAAAGTTTCAAGGAGGTTGCTGAATTGTCTGCCCCCCCCACCTCCCTCACGTTTTCTCACTTTTCCCTTCTCCTTAAACATTCAGTTCCTTGGTTCTTCATCCTGCCTGTGCCTGAAGCTGCAGTGTTACTACTTAATTAATTGATTATTTTTCTTTATTGACTGAAGTATGCCAAAACTGATAAATTGAGGAACTCACAAAGTGATTCTTTGAAGCAGGAGATTGCTGGTGAAGCAATTCACAATTTATAGATCACAGGATCGCTCCACTGGATTATAGCCTGCGCCAGTAAATCCAGTCCACAACTTCCGACCCTTTTTCATTAAGGGCCACTAAAGTATTATTCTCCCATATACACTTGGTATACTCGTTGGTGTCTCCACCTTATCGTGGTGAGGGTGTTTGAGTATGCCAAGGACCCTGAGAGCTATACCAGCGGTAGCGTAGCTACTGGCAGGGCCTCCCTTGCTGGACAGGTCAAAGGGTAGGCATCAGACGAAGAGAGACACCGAAAACTGATGCCGGAAGCAGCGTCATCAGCGGCGACTTGAAGCACAGAGAAAATAATGCTCGAGATGGTTCAAGTTCGTATAGCAACAGGCATGACCAGAGTGGTTTGAACGGCTGTTGTACTGCGATGTGGAAAGCAAATGGAAAAACTACCACATTATCACTATTCCTGGATAGTCTCTTTCCAAAAACAGAAGATCGCATTAAGTGGAGAAACTGTTTTGGAAGAGGCTGTGGACCTGTCATCTGACAGATTACTGATGAATGAATGAATACACTTGGGTCTCATAAGTGGACTTTTCCCTTCAGGTTTTCCCAATAAAATTTTGTATCCATATCTTCTCTCTCCCATTCAATACATTCACAGGTACCCTCTATATCAGGCGGTTGTACCCCTCAACCATCCACAGTAAGGAACTCAGACTGTGGAGTTTTGGCAACAAACAGTGGGGTTTTGGTATTCAGTACTGGCCACACCATAAATGTGTCTATTTCCAATTATGACACCATGCAACTCTTTGCAGCTGTGTGATAGCAACTCTTGGGAACTTGACATCACAGTATTTAGCAGGTGTGAAAGTAATCAATCAGGACAGCCTAATTGCCTATGGAGTGTTTGGGTGAGTACAGTGCTTTTAAGAATAGGTGAGTCTTCTCTTACAAAATTGTATTATAAAAAACAAATACAAATATAAATCACTCTGTCCAGTGTGACCTGTAAGTTTTTTACTACATGAAAACTTAACACCCTTACATGTTTCGGTCTCTGCGGACCATCTTCAGAGGGCAAACATCACTACAAATAGGAAACCACCATCACATAAGTCGTTTAGACGTGAAGTACGTACACTTATATGCTACAATGCATAGTACACAAAATAGAACATTTCACAAACAGCAGTTTCTTGGGAATGTAAAGTTTTTAAAAAATTATTTAAAATTTCTTGATGCTAATTAAACATTTTTGCATTGTCACTAATTAAAATTCATAAACCATGCAGGTTCGTGTTTGTTCTCCCATCATCCCTCCTGTATGGGGCAGATATTGTGCCACCTGTCTATCTTGATGTGGAGGTTCTTTATATCTTCCAGGGTTTGCTCGTGGCTGCTGGCTGTTTTCACTGTTCAGAAACAAATCAAATTTAACAAAAACAAACTCTGTGGTTTTAGTCCATAAGTGAACTATACTGACTGAGTGACCACTGCTTGTCAGTGAAGTTAGTGCCAACTTTAGCGAATGGAGGGTGTTGCCTGGTCAGCACAATGAATCCCTGTGGCCGTTAATTTCGGTTTTCTAGACTGAAGCTGCTATTTCCTTGAAATAGTTCCTCAGTTATCCTCACAAGGCTGAATGGACCCTATTCCAGACCCACTACTTCTCAGAAAGTCTGGTAGCGCCAGGAATCGAACCTGGACCTCTGGATCTGGAGCCAGGAATTCTGATCACTAGACCACAGAGGCAGTCAAAATTGTATTATGGAGAAACAATTACAAAATCACATCAGCTTCGTGTGATGAAACTGACCAGTGTAACATATCCAGCCCTTAGTTTACAGTTTCCGTATTTCGGTGTTAGTCATTAATAAAGTTTGAACTGTTTTTGTGGCTTTTCATCCAGCACAAATCCTTGCACTTGTAAAGGAAGCAAATTGCACCAGTCAGTTTAGTATATTAAGGAAGAATTCTGCCCCTAAATTGGAGTAGGGTAGTGAATATGTTTGAAGCAAAGTTCATTGGAGAGGATTAAATTGTATTTTATTCAAGGAGAAATTATTTCATCATCCAGGGACAGAAAACCTAGGTCTCTTATCTTAATGTATGCACTGTTACAGATGGCTGGACAGTCAGGTTGAATTGTCAACTTGAGTGACAGCTTTTCTTCATGCTAAACATGTTTGTAATGAAGATGTCTTATGATTTTGTAATATCAAAATAGTCTTGAATAGTTTTAATACTCTTATATTAATAAGCAGATGATCCTTTGTAATTACATTATTTATTTTCTAGGCTTTTGTTTGGAGGTTCAGTTCCCCACTATTTCTACAGCGCTTTAGATCGCTATATATCTGATGATGTAGCTTTGGCACCACTTAAGCAGCTGATTTTGGAGAGACTGGTCTTCATGCCTCTGTTTCAGATTTTGGCCTTATATGTGCTCCCACGACTAGAGGTATCTTTTAAGTAATGATGATAATGTTCATTATTGGATACAGGCTAATACATTACTTGGGTTAGAATGTACAACACTTAATAGGGAAGTTGAACATAACTGTGATATGTGAAAGGAAAAGAGGGCTATGTCCAGGATTTGATTTGAGGTGGGGGGGGGGACCCCAGAAAAGTTTTCATGCTGATGTTCACAAATTAAGTATGCAGTTGTCATAAATTTTAATCCCCTCCATCACTAACCTTTCCTCTCCTAATGTAAGGGGGTTAGAAATGTTCTTTTCTGGTTTTAACTTAGACATGCAGAAAAAAAAGGTGCAGCTATGTGTAACCATGAGGAAGTCAGTAAATTATGACAGAAACAAATAATTCAGTATAATCATATACAGGTAATTTAAAAAATTTTGAGACAGAGATAATTTAACAAATGTAACTTTCCTTCAACATTAGCATTTTCCCATCTTGTTTATCTTCTTCTTGGTTCCTGCATAATGTTTTATAACAAGCTAGATTTTTATGGTGAGCTGGTGTAAGAAGCATTAAGATACATTTGTTGATGCATAGCCATTATATTTTTATACAATTTTGCAGTCTGTCTTTTCCATAAGTGTGTTTTTGCCCTCCTGTTTTCCAGCAGCACTAATATTTGTTTTCAGGGTAAATCACAACAGCAATCAGCTAAACAACTTTCTCAGTTGTACTGGCCTGTAGTTATATCTAACTGGAAATGGATCTCTCTCCTGCAGTTCATTAACTTTACATTTGTTCATCCAGTGGTAAGCAATATTTAATATTTCAGTAACTCATGAAGTATGAAAATTTAGACTTTCAAATGTGATATTCTTCCAATCCTAATTACAACAGCATACAGCCAATTAAGAGGAAGAAACAGTAACACTGTTATTGCATAAACTGCAATCATATGAAACTTGTGATCAGAAGTCATTACTTGGAACAAAACTGACTGATTCTGTATACATGTAAATTATATATGAAAAATAATTTCTGTTAGCTTGTCATGAGGACAGAGAGGAATAGCTATCTTGTAACTTATCTAGAACCTGCAATAAAGAACTTAAAGAGAAAATGAGAGACCTAGATATATTCCCCAAACTGAAGTGAAAAAAAAAAACAGTTATTACTTAAACTATATAATAAATGGCTGTAAAGTTGTGTCCTAATTCTGTAAATTATATTTCAATGGAATTTGCAGTTGCGAGTGTTCGTGACCAATTTGATAGGCTTTGTCTGGGTTGTATATGTGGCCAGAAAGCGCCGTCAAGCTCGGGATCAGAGAGGAAACAGGCAGTGATGGACTGTTGTAACAACCACTGAAGCACAACAAGGAAAGATGGATTCACTATAGGAGGAGTCATTGAGGAGACCCTGACATAGCCATGTTTGTAAACAGAAACTTGCTGCAGCCACAGTCAGTCATAAGAACATCTTGGAATATAAATAAAACATTAGATACAGACTTTATTCAGGCAATGTTAATAAATGAAATACCAAGGCTGAAATAAAAGTTGATAACATATTGAATCTAGTTACTTTTTGTAGGATATGAGGTTTTCATAATGGTGGTTATGAAGAGTACTATCTTCTGGTTATTTTTTCTTTTTCTGTTGTTATTTGTGAAAGTAGCTGGTGGCCATACTTGAAATTTTCTGCACTATTATACTCTTAATTGCTTATGTTTTTAACTAATTAATTCTATGGAGCTGCCCCCTTCTTGAGAAGTTCCCAGTTCCAGAGCTACTCAAGCAGGTCCCAATGATTTATGGAACCTGAAGGTTCAACAAGGGTGAAAAAGTATTTTTGAATCTAGGTGTCAAGATTTTATATATATATATATGTTGCAGAAAATTGCAGGGCTATAGTGGACATTTCTAATAAGCAAGGGAACACTGTGTAGGTATTTAAGTTTTAAATGAGATTTTGTCATGTATTTCTTGCCAGAGTATTCCTCAGTACATATGTACTCCAATGTCAGTTATAGAAAAACATTCTGAAGCCAGTTTTCTTTTGATTAATCATTCCTATATAAATGATTATTACAAAAGATATGAACACGTTCATAACATTTACTGTGAGTAAACTAAATCCAACACAAAAACCAATGTTACATTGAAGAAAGCAGTCTTCTGGGATTTGGCACCGTACATATGTGGTGTTAACCGACGTTTCAGAGGAATGTATCGCCTCCATCTTCAGGGTAGAAGGAAAAATATAAGAAATCTGCAGACTGGTCTGCTTTTACCGGTTCTCACGGTCTCATCGCTTGCGGATTTCTTATATTTTTCCTTCTACCCTGAAGATGGAGGGGATACATTCCTCTGAAGCGTCGGTTAACACCACATATACACGGTGCCAAATCCCAGATGACTGCTTTCTTCATAGTCACCCCCCGTGAAAAACTCTAATCTTACACAATGTTACATTGTTGGAAGCAGTAAGTCAAAATTCCTCTTATTATTGACCTGTGAACATACAAAGTTCCTGAAGTCACCATAAGGAGTGCTTTGAGCTTAAACAGTCAAAATGTAAACCAAGTGGGAAAGGCTAAATATTTTATGTGGTTTGTGGAGACAAAGGCAGCCACATCTTATAGGGCTGTATTAAGATCAAGTTTGCACCCCTTCTCTGCCAAACAGTCTTCAGGAACTCAAAGTTAGGATCTGCCAAGCTGTGAAGTCAGCTGACACAGATACCTTACACAGAGCATGGATTAAGTTCATATACCTTTTGGTGTGGTTAGGGTTACCAACAGAGCTGCATTGAAGGATTACAGATTGATAAAGAAGTTTTCTTGAATGCCTGTTTCCAACTGTGTAAAAATGTGAAGTTGTCCCTGTGCTTAACTAATTAAGCACCACACCATGAAGACATATGGGGGGAGTGGATATATAGATCCACATTTTCTTGGCCTTGGCCCTAGTTGGAGATGAGTGTTCAGCTTCATGCCCCAGCCACTTTACCTTCAAGGAAAGAGCCCCTGGTACCCATTAGATATTGTTACAGACATCTTTTCACTGATTGGAATTTGTGTAGCAGCCAAGTTACCTGGCCACCTGCTACTGTAGCTGCTAGTTTGTGTCTGTACTTCTTTCTTGTGTGACATCTGGTAACAAATACCAGCTGAAATGAGGAATAGTAATGATTCAAGTGATGTTTTAAGAAGAAATGTCTTTTCTTTTTCATTTTATATATATATCATATATCACACATAAAGTAGTGGAAACTGCTTCATTAGAATATGAGGGGGCTACTGGTTAAAATCTTAAATAAAAATACTGCTTTTATAATTCTTATTCATTCCAATAATTTTCAAAATCTTAAATAACTAAAGAAACACAATTATAATTGATATTTTTACATTTGCAATAATACTAATAAATTTGTAAAAATACAGAAATATGTTTTGTAAGTCAGCAATATCGTTCATATTATATATGTGTAAATGTGATTTCCGTTCACATTTAAATGTTGTATATATTTTTACACTGAATTAAAATGTTTGGTTGTTTCTGAAAAGCGTTAATTTCATTGCTACTGTATTACAGTTCAATCCACTGGCTTATCTTGTAATCAGTATCCCTATAGGTTGGTTATATTAGCTGTTGTGATCCACAGATCTGTGGGAATAGAGACTGTAATGCTGAAAGCAAGACACCAGAAACGTTTTGAAATGGGTGCAGAGACCAGTATTTTTAATACATTTGATTTTCTCAAAAGAGCAAGTCTGGGAACATTAAATGTGGGAGTTCATGTCCAGAGAACTATACTAAATTACGGATACTGGCCCAGTATTGTTATGACTGTGATAACACACAAATATTCTAGGGTGGGTGGGGCAGAATCTATACACCACTAATGCATTATTTTAATATTAACATTTTTTCCTTCACCTCCATACATACCAACAAATATGGTTCTGAAAAAGCAACATGAACTGTTATCTTTAGGCTGAGGATATTGATTCCAAGTGTAACTTCACTTAGAAAATTTATGGATTCTACTTTGTCATTTTGGCTTGAAATAAACACTATCTTATAATGAAAAGGAAAGAATGGAAATGTGTACTCCAATTTGGAGTACATTCACTTTCCAGATATTTTCTTTGTAATTTTTCACACTTCATTAACTTCAAAGTTTGCTTATTGTGAACACATCTGTTATTCCACATACAATATGCTTTCCCACCCAGGCATAAACTGTGAGAAGTCACTTGAAATAGCTAGTATAGTTAAGCCTATGGAGACTGAACTGTTGTGATTTTGCCTACCTCACTGACCTCAAAATTAATTTATCATTCATTCAGACAAAAATCTTTCTCCACCATTTCTGAACCTATGAATGAAAATACTGATGGAACTCAATCCACATATTAAAAGCAGTCACACTTTCTTTATAAGGCAAGGACTGTATGCAGGAAATAAGTATCAGCATCTTCTAAAATATGTTCTCATGAAGAACTCATTGATGTATGTATTCATATTGCTTGCAGCAAGTCAGCAGATAAAACTTTTACTTGTTAGGCCAACACTACTGTAGTATGCTATTGCACAGTACATCTTCTCAAAAGGTTCTATTCTAACAAAGATTAAAATAAATCACAGAAATTCTGTTCAGGAAATCTGAGTCTGCCAGTTTCAGATATCTACTTTCTTGCCACTGGTGCTTCCATTGAGAACAGGATCATCCTGGTAACACAGCACTTTTCCCAAAAGCCATTACTGTGTGTGCAGACATGTCCATGTGATGCGTGTTATAAAATGATGTGCCAGGCTGAATGATAACATCATGTCATTTACTGAGACAGATATTAGCTGTTAAAATACATCTGTGGAATAGACCAGGATCTATGCATGCTTTGGTAATGAGTTTTCTAGTTAAGGATTATTAAAAGCAATATTAAGTAAGACACAATATTAACATTTTATTTCAATAACCATACATCATATTGTGACATATTTTACAGAAAAAATAATAAATAAAATGAAATCTGTTACATTAAGATTTTGTCTAGTTTTAAGAATGATAAATGACAACAGAATATCGTAATGTTACAAAATATACAAAACACTATTTCAACAACAAGACAAGGGTACATAGTATCCATTGTACTTCGTGAATCCACAGGGCGTGAAGATATAACTTCTTGTAACCTTCCAAACTGGACATAATTTATTACACTTCAGATACATACTACAATCTATGAATGGCAAAACCTTTCATGACATGGGCCATATATATGATTCAGAACTGAACTGCTGCAAAGGACATTCAAAGTAAAATCGTTATGGTCATAATTTTGGATTTATCAGACTCAAATGTTAAACAGATTATATCACTCTAGTGAGGCAATTTTAATTTTTATTGTATAAATCTCTCTACTCTGTGGTCTTCTGGGTTATGTCTAATAGGTGCTTACCAACTTTTCAGAGGATGTAGCCCCTCTATCTTCTGTTCTACACTTAAGATGGAAGCAGCATGTTCTTTTTTTCAACACTGATGTCCACCTATCAAATTACATGGTGTTACAATCTAGGGGACTACAACATGAATCTTCACCACTACAAAAACCTCAGATTTAATAAATTATTACCAAGACTCTGAGACCTTCTTGAAATAGAACTGTCTTGAATATGTGCTTTTTTTTTCAATAAATTTTGTTGGCAAATGGCTTAAATTTAATTACAATACATGTGTTACAATTTTCAGTACTGTTTCACAGGCCACAGTTTTGCCATCCCAGATACAAATAATTTAAATGTATAGCCAAATTTTATATCATAATTTGAATGAAGAAGTAAATTGAATATGAAATCAATAACACATTAAAACTACTGTTCTTCATGTTCACTTTATATGTAGAATTTATTAATTTTTTAAATTTGGGTTGCTCTAGATGCCATTTTGTTCAGAACCATAACAAAAAATATATAATACTGGAAATCAGCACCACATAGCCTGATTTTATAATAGTATCTCTTCTGTACTAATGGTGCAACTCAGTAGACCAGAGCTAACTGCTGGCTTTGCATACTGTTAACTTATATGAGTATTGTCATGCAAGAGGAATTATTACCTCTGCATTATAATATCACTATTAAACATGTTCTAGTTTTTAGATGAATTTCACACCTTAATGACTAGAAGAAATCTGAAAGTAAATATACATTTCTAATAAATATATAAATAAATTGAATGTATATTGAATAACAAAAATTATTACACATTCCCATAATAGGATGCAGTACTTTTAAGCTGCCATAAAGGCATATGAGAAAGATGTACATGCATTCCTTTCTCCAGTCATCTAACTTGGTACAATAAATAAGAAAATAATTAATATATATAAAGGAAGTAAACACACACTTTTCCTAATATCTTAATCACAATGAAGAAAATAAAAATGGTAGTGGATGAACAAAATGAAAAATATTAAATAAGTGACTAGAACATTTCTTTTTTATAAAATAATTGAAATAAAATGCATAAGAGATCAGTTTCCACAGAGAAGTTCCCTAACTAGACCA